TTTAAAATCAAAAATAATAAATATTCATGACGGCAGTATTAAACGCAATTTAGGAATTAAAGTAATAATACACCAACGCAAATAATAATAAACTTACATTATTTTCAGTTAATTATGCATATATTCATGTGAAACATTTATTTTTTATTATTAAATTTAATATGAGACGTACTGATATGTTTAAATATATACTTTACGTGATAATTTCATTCTTCAAGTATAAAAAATTTTTAACTCTTTTATCAGTGAGCAACAAAATTTTAAATTACTGCTCATTAATATAAATTTCCGCTTGATACTGAAATGTGTGCACAAGAAAAAAGTTAGAAAGTTGAAATGAATCAAATTAATGTTCGTTTATTTCTTATTAGCAAAATAAAAATTGGTATTTGTTTAATTTCAAATACAACAATTTTTTTAGAATATATTTAAAATTTAAGCAGAAAGCAGTAATGACAATACTGTGTTCAACAAATCTTGTACTATAGATAAGAGAAACAAAATAATTGAAAGTTCAGAAAATTATTTTTTCAAAGTTTGTTCGAGTTCAATAAATTTTTTTGTCATTTAAACCAAGCAAGCTCACAGCAATACACTTTGTTCTATTTGCTTCCTGTTTTGACCTTGTAAAAATGTTAATTCGTCAAGCAAATTTTTTTAATATATGCTATGACATTCGGACTTATTTGCACATAAAATATTTATTTATTCAGCTAATTTGTTGAAATGTTAGTACACTAATTCAGTTAGTAATGTAATGTGATCTGAGCAATAATCATAGTTTTATCTTTACTCACTGAATAACAAATAATTTAATTTGATTACTTAATTTGCTTGTTTTTTTTATAATGTTTGAAAAAATAATCATAGTAAAATCACGCTGATTATGCGGTAACTAGAATTATTAAAATGTGATGAAGGCATTATTACAATATATTATTATTTTTTATCTTTTAAAAAGTATTTAAAATGAATGACTTCAATTCTTATTTAATTCTTTACGTGACTTAATGCTGAAAAAATACGATTAAAAATTGAAAAACTTGCAATTATCATCAATGATGAATTCAAAATTAGTGGTGTGAAATGAACAAAATTATTTTGAATGTTAGATTTATGAGATGAAAAGCAAAAAACTAAGAAAATCATTTTTATATGAAAAAGCTGTGTGCAGTTGATATTCCGATACTGTACAACGATTTTTTTAACGCATTTATTAATCTAGTTATTGACGTCATTTAAAGTTGTAAAATAATTTTTTTATTTTTTGCTTTATTTTTTATTTCTTTAAAACAACTATTGTTTGTTTAGAAATTTAGTAACAAAGGCAAGTAGGCGAATAATTACTATGCTATGATAAATATCAAATGTACCATATTCTATAAAACAAAGAATTGCATACGATAACATGATCACAATTGTGACAAAATTATTAACAACAAGTAAATCATTCATTTATAAGTAACAAACTTTACTTAAAAGGAATTTTGTAGAAAATTTATCAAATTTATAGAAACCATTCAAAAAATAAGCCTTTTCAGCAGTTTTAAGCATAACAAAAATATATATATACTTCATGTTTTCCTAGTTAATTTTGATATGATCTGATAGCAATGCTAAGCTAATTATTTGTTACTTCAAAATTTTCAGTGGTGGGAATGCCCTCAGGCTAGCAGCTACTGCTTAACTCACCAGTTTTGCAGACAATTGGTTTAAAAAATGAATAAATTTTTGCAATCATTAATGTATTTTACTTTTTATAAACAACTGAGAATTGAATAATACAAAATAAAATAAAGATTCAATTTGTTACTTAATATCTCAGTTTAGCTGATTCTCTTTAACATTTGTAAGTGATATGCAGAAAGTCATATGATGTATTTTTATTGTGTGTTTAAAAAAATCACAAATAATGAGAAATAAAAACTGCAAAATCTGGGTTTTAATTTTTTGAATTTACTAAATTTTCACTATCTCAAACCGCAGGAAGAGATACATTTTTCTTACTTGTGATCATGATTTTTTCGCTAGAATTGGCATTGAAAAAAAAAAGGACTCAAAGCTAATAACAATTTGTATTTAAAAATTAATCATTTTTTTTGATAAAAAATTTGATTGATAATTAAACTTTTAAATGAATAATTAATTTATTCTTTGTTAGAGTTATAAGAAGTTAGTAAAATGAAATTTAAAAGTACGACAATATCCTTGAAAACGAAAAAAGAAAATAAGGTAGTTTTAAAATTAAAGTATTTTAGACTTTATTGCCTGCAAATTTGTAACTTTGACAATTTCCTCACATTATCTGTCAATAGAAATTGTCATGTTTTTGCGTGTATTAAAAGTTCCAAATGATCTTTAATTTGCTCTTATTTTTGTATAAAATGAAATGAAAGCTAAAAATTATCAAATTAAATCAGTCATTTACAACTTTTCTTTCTTTAAATGCCATCCAATTTACTTTCCATGCATTGATATAAAAACGATAATTTTGAAGTACAATAAAAAAATTAAGAAAAATTAATGTTTTTGATTGTTAAGTGATATTTTATGATTGAATTGAGGTTGTATTTAATTCAAATAGTTATTCTTCTCTTTCTTCTCCAACAACATTTCCAGCTTTTGGATGGATTACTTTAGTATTGTGCTTTTTTTGTATATTTTCTTACCGGAAATGCTACTTTTGTACAATATTTTACATTTCAAACAAAAATTTAGCAATTAATCGTTCATTCATTTCATTTATCTGCTTAAAGAGCAAACAACTAATCAATCTATCAATCTATCTATTTATCTGCCGATCAATCGATTGATCAAACATTTATTGTAATGTTCATTTGCCATTCCATCGATCAACAAATCAAACAATTTAATTCACAATTTCAGTCTCATTAAAATTATCAGCTATCGCATTTGATCCATTCATGAAAATCATCGTAACTGCTGTGCATTCAAATGATTGCCAGTAATTGATATTAATATCATCATGGAATGATTATCACCGATACTTTTTCAGCAATACTCCAATTTAAGCAATTGCAATCATTTCAGAACATTCACTATAAATGAATTATTGTAATCTAAGACAGCTTCTGTACTCATTTTTGGTATAAATGATACTCTAGAAAGGAGATAAAAGGATTCAGAATGTAGAGGTAATTGAAGTCGTTCCTTCATGTTTATCTACACAATGATTTTTAATAAAACTGAGAATTCCGAAAGATTTCATTAACTTTTCTTTAACTGTACTTAACCTTTGTAATTTATTACAGTGTACTGTGCTGATTAATCCCACTACGTACTGCATTAATTACTCTTCCTGACAATTTCTTTCCATTCTCCTTGCTTACAAGAAGGAATTGATTAGCGATCGAAAATCACTGACAATTTAAGTTTTTAATTTTTTTTTTAAATAACATGAATGAGTATTACTGTTTTTTTCAATATTACAAATTAATTACAGTATTTAATTAAGATGAAATAATTTTTTTAATTATATAAATTAGTGATTAAATAAATTTTTTTGCCGACATAAAAGTTAAATTAAACTAATGAGTTGAAAAGTTGCGAAATTAAATTAATTTTAATTCGATTTCATCGAATTTAATAAATAAATTACTATCATTAAAAAAATTACCAATTATAATAGTATTTTAAACTAGTTTTTTTCATCTCACCATTAGAAATATTGTTGAATGTTCTAATTTATTACAACTATATTAAATAATGCGATATGTAAACCTAAAAATAATAGTGATTAAAATATTATTTAAATAATATTAATATTGATAAAGTTTAATTTTTTGCTATTTCAAACCTTATAACTTCTTTCTTAATATTCAATATAGCTGTTACTACTTTTATATTTTCATTGAATGTTGTTTCCACAATAATCTTTATTAGCGATTTGTTATCATTATTAATTATGATTATTACTGCACATGAATCGAAATCATTGTATCGCTATAAATTTAGCCTCATTATTCTATAGCTAGGATTGCTTTATTACGTAACTTGAAATTTGTTACTTATGCAGTAATAATAATTATAATATTAATTAATAATCAGCAATCATTAATCATTTTTTGCTATTTCAAACCTTATAACTTCTTTGTAAGGTTTGAAATAGCAAAAAATGTTACTACTTCTATATTTTCATTGTTGTGGAAGCAACATAAAATGAAAATATAAAAGTATTATCATGATGATGATAATAATAATAATTATTATTATTTTTTCATCATGACTATAAATTATCACTATCCTACCTATCCTTTTCTTCTTCTTTTGTCATCAAAACTCCGCCCCAAAAAATTAATTTTTGAAATAAGAAAGGGTATGGAAAGATGTACAGGTAGAATAGTTCTGTTTCTTTTTCTATCAGTTTTGGTTCTGTTTGACAATTAGGAAGGGGGATGAAACGAAAAATTGAACTTTTTTCAAACGACCTCTATTTAAAGTTGGTTTCAACCGCTTCTTCTTGAATCACTTTGAAAAGTACTCAGTGTTCAAGTCATACGCTACGCCATCCACGTACGCATATGCATGCTCTCCCAACGCAACAATGTTTTAAATTTTGTTCATTTTTTATTTTATTTTTTTCAATTTCCTATTGTTTTAAATAAATAAATAAATAAATAAAACAAAATAAAATAGAATAGAAAAAAGGATTTAAGGAAAAACTTACAAATATAATTGATAAGTTACGACATAAATTCATATGATTAGTTTTTTGATGCCTTCATAATTTTGTCAAAAGTCAATAACTTATTAAATTTCACTACTAATTTGTTCATTCACTTTCGTCATATTTTTTCTTCTTTCATTATTACTTGTACTATATAGAACGCTAACGCTAACTTTATCTGCGCTCTTTACTATATTTGAGAAATGGAAGAGAAACTATTCTTCCAGACTTACGTCATTGTACCTCACGTGCCTATTTTTTTGTTTATTTTAATCTATGTCAATTTTTTTAATGGACTTATAAAACCAAGAAAATGGTGCTTTGGCTGCTTTTCTGGAGTATCTTTTCATTTGATACAGTAAGGGCAAGCTCAAATAGACAGGTTCACTTACTAGAATCACAAAGTAGACGACGATGCTGGTCATCTGGTAATGGACAGCCGGCTCATTGGTTGAATGATGGTGAACAGATTAGTCGAGGTTTTAGTTTTTCCAGAATTCACATTTTTTATATAAAAAATTGACCGAGTAAAGGTAACTCAAATTTAAAGGCAAAATTTTTTTTGTAACAATTTATGTAAGGGTTAATAAACATTTGTGAAACGATATCACATGCTAATCAAAAAATTTTGTCTTTCTTTCTATTAAATATAATATGCATTAAAGTTACTTCATCTCTAGAAATCGTATAATATTCCTATTGTAAAATACTAATCTCACGTTAGTATAATATGAAATCATCCGAGAATAATTTTGCATTATAAAAATAAAGCTCTTCTTAGCTAAATTCATAAACTTCAAGAATTAATCACATCGTGAAAATATTTAGCTGATTTTATAATCAAAAATGTTAATTTTCTCAGAATTACTTATTTGCCATATATGATTAAAACAAATCCAAGTTAATATACTCATTTTTTGTTGGTGATTTTAAAAGTTAATCATTATTTAATTTTTGGGTTTGTAATATCAGTCAACATGTTATTAATCACTTTTGAAATTTTTTATTATATTTTTATAAAAATTTTTATTACAAAATAATTGTTTTTAATTGTTTGAAATTTAAATTCACTTGAATTCTCGTTATAGTACTTGAAACAGAATTTCATCCATCTGTCTATGATTTATTCAATTTCTAAGTAATTTGTATAAGTAAAAAACATTATAGGAAAATACTGGTATGTTTGTAGTCGCGGCGAATTACAACCACGAGGCTGTTTTACAGCAAATAACGAGCAGCTACGCATTGGCGATAAATACGTTGAAAACGGCTACGAACTACAGTGTGTTCTGGATCGAGGATATTTACAGTTCAAATTCACGGCATGCGTTCCAAAATCAAATAAACGATACACAATTGGTGAGACATGGGAAGACGAAAAGGTACAATTTTTTCAATAAATTTGCTAAAAACTATTAAATATTTGTAATCGCAGCAAACTAATCGTATATTATTTGACATTTCAATATATTTCTTTGAATTTTTTCAAATAAATTGATGGAAATTAGTGGAAGTAGTAAATTTATGCCAATTTAAAAAGAATCTTTTGATTTATTTACTTGAATAACTAAATAAGATAGAAGGCTCATCATATAAATATAATTATCGTAATTAATTACAGCGTATGTACTGGTTTGAATGCAAAGCTGATGGACCATATTTACGAGTTGAAATTCGTGGTTGCTTAACCCATGATAAATCACGTAAACTAGAACTCAATGAAGTCTATGATTTTGGAGAATACACGTCTGTTTCAGTATCACAAAAACTATATTTTATAGTTGAAAAAATAATGCTATTAAAATTTGTTATTAAAGCAGTAATTTGATTACAGTTTTGATGCGTTGAAAATTATATCGGTTTAAAATAGAGAATTGAAATTATGAATTTTTATTCTAACAAATTTAACATTTTAAACATCCGTTTAAAAAATTTGTTTTTCATTTATGATAATTCATCAGCAACTTTTTCAAAAAAATTATAAAAATTAATGAACAAATATTTAAACCATTTGCAAAAGCTTTCAATATAAATTTCGATGCTAGCAGATTGAATCCAAAAATTTAGTAGATTAATCTTAGATTATGTAAAACTAACTAGTCAGGGTTGCGCAGTATAACCTTAAGTTTGGAAAGTAATTAAAAGCAAATTGGTAAATATTTGATTATTTATTACTGATCGATATTTGATCAAATTTTGTATTATTGAAATTAATGGATAAGCGAGGTAATAAATAGCTTAATTACTCGATAAATTAAATCTTAAGGTATTTTATCGTTTTTCAGATATCAGTGTCAGAAGAAGTACAATGGTACTGTACAAATGTGTTCTGTGGGATGTGTACATAAAGGAGCGCATTACAAAATTGGTGATCAATGGCCTGTGAGTTTTTCATTTATTACTAAATAAAAATTGAATTATAAAAATGAAGTTAAAATTATTTGGCGTAATCACTTGTTTTGTAAAAGAAAAGTAATTTTACTTCAAGTTTTCAAAAATTTCTAAATAAAAAGTTATTTTTCAATTCACTCAAATACTGTTTTTGAGTTAAATACAATTATCAACTACTGAACCTAATAACTCTCAAATCAGTAATTAATTATTTAAGAAGTTTCATTTGTGAATATTCAAAATTTTCGCAGCTTTGTCATGTTATATTTATTCACTTTGTAATAATCTGAATTAATTGTCATATATTAATTACTCATTTAAGTAAAACTAAATAAAAGTAATAAATAATAGTACAAAAAGAATGATTTGTTTGCAAAAATTTACTCTCTCCTTCTCATTTCTTATCAATTGATTTTATAACAAAAATAATAACTAACAATTAATTTTTGCTAATTCATTCTTATTAATCTTATCTCTTATTTCTTCTTAATAAATTAACTTTGCTAAGACTCTTTGATAGGACAACTTTCTGAATTAAACAGGTTTTTTGTTTTTTTTGCCGGGAAAAAAACAAAACAAAACAATAAATTGATTACTTGACTGAGAAAGAAGTAATTTCATCTTTGTTTTCAAAGATTAATCAACAGTTTTCTAGCAACTAACAAACAAATCATCACGAAATAAACACACATATTGAAAAAGTACTCGTTTCATTAAAAAAAAGAATTTGGTTTATTGAAATAATTAGAAATTGTAAAAAATTTGTAATTGCGAACTTAAAGGATGTCCTTAAATGATTAATTTATCGTTGCAAAATTAATTTTTCCAAATCAGTTTTCCTTCACAACTGATACAACTTTATTCAGTTTTTTCTATCATCAATTTTTTGATTCCCACTATTAATGTGCTACAGTATTTGAAGTAATAATACAGCATAAATGCTAAAAATAAACAAATTATCTTATATTTTGTTGATTTTTTTGCTGTAATTAATTAGTAATAAATTATTAAGGCAAGTGTTATTTATGAAAATTAGTATTAATTAATATTGCTAGTGATTCACTTCATCAATATACTAAATTTTTAAATTTTTATAATCTTCTTTAAATTAATAAAAATTCTAATATTTCAATAAAAATCATAATTTTTGTTTATTCAATGATCTGTATTAGTGTGTGATGAAGAACAATCATCAATACAAAAATCACTGGATTATATTTTTGACATTTCATTACTTTATGTTTTCCCTCTAATCCTTTTTGTTTTGTCGCTGATAAAACGAAAGGTTTTATCAAATGAATAAAATTTATTTTTTATTTTTTATCATCCTGTTTTACCGTTGTTTTTGTGTGAGATGTAATAGAAACACCTTTTTGGCGCCGTTATGATTGACGTTTGTAAAATAAGGAAACTTATCATTGATATTTGCTATTTTGTTACGTATTTCCTTAATCATTAACAATTGTACGTTTATTTTTAAGAGTCTTGAAACTAACTTTTGCAAATTAAACATGCAGAAATGGTACACATTATTTGTTCTCAATTTCCACTCATATCAAAGTTTATCGTTTTTCTGATATTTGTAAACCTCATGTCTTATATCCAAAGCTTGAAGCTTATTCTTATGGCAACCAAAGCTTTTAATTAATTATGGTACATTCAGTATCACCATTAAAATATATACTTGAGCATACATCTGTTATCATTTGGTAATTCTACAGTTGAAATTTAGTACGTGAATAGCCACACTTTCTCAGCTGAGCAGAAATATTAATTATTCAAATAAACCCAAGTTTTCTACAAGTAATAATTTCAGATTCCAAAACAGTGCTTACTAAAAAAACAAAATTTTGCAAATGAAAACTTAAATCTATTTTTTTAATAAGAAGTAAATGAAATCACATTAGCTCTGCATAGAGAAGATAATAATTTTTTTAATTTGCAAAGAATAATTATTTTCTCATAAATTTAAAAGAGGAATATACTCACATGAGGGGCCACTTTTAAATATTATTATACTTTTAAAGTTGCGTTGCTTTTTGCTGCATTTTTAACTTTGTTTTTAGCTTAATTTTACGATATAAATTTGGTGCTTTACAATCAGTCTATTATAGAGCAGATCATTTTTCATATTTTTCTATTTAAAATGATGAATAATGATAAGACAAAATATTCATGAAAATTATAAACAATTGAAATTTTGCTTTTTTGCTGCTTTATGTATTTCGAAGTTTAGTATCAAGTAGTCTTAATTTGATGCCCCATCACACTTAAAAATTAATTAGATTAAAGCTTTTTCTGTCTCTAATGAAAAAATGAATCCAAAGAAGCAATACTTATAAACAATTTAACCAGTTAAATATATCAATACTTTACAGTAACTGTCATCGATCTGATTAATAAACATTTTCACTCTTTTTACTGCATACATTTATAACTTGTTGCCATTTCCTTTTGTATATTTTGCTGATCGAATGATAAGATTACTAACGAAATTTCTTCAAAACTTGAGAAATCAAAGATAAATTAGAAATGAATTAGTAATTCTCAGAAGTTTTCAGCAGTTATGCCTTTTAAGATTTTTATCATCTTCAAATTAACAATTGTCATTGAAAGTTTTATCCAAAAATTTCTTTTCATGTTTCAATCACTTAACTGATTATTCTTGTTAATTTTCAGCTTTAAATTTAATTCAGTGCAAGTTTACTTTTTATCTAATTTAATCATGCTGATACTTTAACAATTTTCTTGAGATAATTAGTTCTTAGTTACTAAAAATTGAAAATGTAGTGCCTGATTAAATTTAATATTGTCTACAAACTGCCAATATATCTTTTTTATTGATTTAAATGTTGTAAAAATATTCTAATTTGTAATAATAAATAAACGATAATAGCATATGCATAGTCCAACGATTAAATTCGGCATTGTAAAAGATTTTTAAATGTTTGAATATGTGTCAAAAGTATCAAATTTACCGCCTCATTTATCTTTTGATTTTTCTGAAATATTGCTGCCCGCATTTCACCTGCTCTCCGTCGAAAAATCAAATCCATGGCAGATCAGACAACTTTGATCTGTCAACACATTCATTTTGCAGTTTCCTTTCATTTCTCTGATGGAAAATTCTGTGATAGATTTGAACTTTACAGTCTGCTTGTCATTTGTATATAAACTAACCTACAGTATATAGAAGTATTTATAAGAATACTGCAGCAAACAACAAGTGAGTATATATGTTTCATTTCTTTTTCAAGTGTAATGCTCTGCTTTTAAATGAACTATTCTTGACTGTACATTTGAATAATTCAATTTTTTAGACAAATATTTGATATAATCTTAGCTAATTTCAAAAATGGCTCTAAGGATTCTGAATCGTTCAGATAAACTCTTTAAGATCATGGCACATACTCTATTTCTGCATCCAAAATTACCTTTTGTGAAAATTTTCACTTCACTTTCTATTTCTGATAAGTTTGCTTTCACTGTAATTTACTTTATTTCTTACAGTTATTGTCACCTTTTCATACAATACACTTCTATAATGCTTGAGTGAATTTAATCAAATTTGTCATTTTCTTTAAGAATTATCTAGTGGTTACCGTTACTTAAGAAACCATATCAACATGTAGACATAAGTAGCAGATAAAATGTATAAGTGCAGTTAAATTTGGCGAAATGAAATGATTCAAGGAGCGAAAACTTTGGTGAACTTGCAGTTGACAGCGACAAAATGGTGCCATTTTTGATGGCAAGTAAATAAATTGGAAAGGGTTTGATTTAACGACTGAATGAATGAATGAGTGAATGAATGAATGAATAAATAAATAAATAAATAAATAAATAAATAAACAAATAAATAAATAAATAAATGAGTGAATTAATGAATGAATGGATGAAGGAAGGCATGGATGAATAAATACATAAATGCTTTATCCATTTAATTATTCATTCACCCATTTATGAATGAATTTGAATAATAAACAAAATCATCAAAATACATTAGAGAGTAAGTAACGCAGCTCTAACAAAACTTTATTTTAATTATTAAAACTTGTTTAAAAATCATAATTATTTGTAAAATTAATTAAAAAATTTTCTGGGAAGAATTAAATAAGATTGAAAATAATATTTCTTTGATTTTTTGAATTTCATAGTAAAACATTATTGAGCATTTTTCGCATCTCATATCGTAGAATATTGAAGTTTTCATAATTTTTATAATTCTTTCTATTTCCACTTTTATGCAATAAAATTTTTTGAATGTTACAATTTTGAAAATAATCTGATATACAAGGAATATCAAGCATTACTTATATGCAGTAATTTTTCGATGATTAATATTAAATCATTCCGTTACTATTACAGAAATACTTTTGTCTGTTTATTGGAGAGTGACAAAAGGTTGAAGTAAATTTGTAGGTATCAATTGGATTAATCTCATAATACTGGGCAATCGCTTGCAATTCTATCTGTGATGCTTTTAAAAAATCATGCTTGAGCAATATTTAAAAGTCTTTTTTTCGGAAAAACACTTTTTCGTAATAAAAAATAATTAAATGAGTAGAACATAATGAAGAGCTATATTTCAAATAATAACATATTGAACTAAAACTTAGTAATAATTTTTAAAATTATGCTATAGCTTCGATTAAGCTTTCATCAACTGAAAAAAGTGTTCTAACATGAAAATTTGCTTCAGTTAAAGGCCAAAAAACAAAATAACTTGTTGAATTTTGCACAAAAATATTAATATTTCAAAAAATATTTGCAACAATTCTTTGCAGATTGAAACTTTTTGCTTTTTGATAAGTGATAGAATTTGCAAAATTTTAAATTTTGCAAACTTTTGAGAGCATAAAAAATTTCAGTGATTTTTACGTATTTTTCATTACATTCAGTCTTAAACTATTGTTTTTTCATTGCAATTACACAAGAAAGTACATATATCACTATTTTCGTGAAACACTCAAAGTATGTATGAATTTAAATTTTTGCAACAAAAAAATTCAAGCTAAATGTATTTTTATTTTGAAAAATTTGTGAATTGTAATTTTCAAAATTATGGTAGTAGAAAAAACTATGGGACAATAGTACAGTAGTAATATTGACTGAAGAAACAGTGGTCTCGCTGAATTAACTATTTTTTGGTGTAGACAAAATTGATAACGGCCTGAAAGATTTCACGAACTACTGCTGTTGGAATTATGATGCTTATTTCAGGATGGTGATTTCATTTATTACTGCAAAATCAATAACGGTCGATGTCAAAAAATTTGCGTGGGTTGTCATTTCAACGATAAGTTACTCTATGATGGTGATCGTTATCATAAAGATAATACAGTCTTTATGTGCGAAGTCAGACCTGATAAGTACGGTCATAAACCAGTAGGATGTGTGGTGCGGGACGAAAGTGGCGATAGTGTTGAACGAATTGTTGGATGTCGATGGCAAGTTTAAAGACTTATCTTGATATGTAAACAACTTTGTCATATCATATGGAAAATTGGATTAAAAATTAGGAATAACAACAGTAACACTATACTTATCATAGCAATAATATTGATAATAATAAATCTCAATTTCATTTCTGCAAAAAGTTTTAGATTCTGAAATATTTACAAATTAGAATGTAAGTAAAACCGTAAATGCTTTTTAGGTATCAGCAAACAAAAACTTCGAAAGTAGAACAAACGTGTGTCTTAGAAAATGATAAAGCTGTGGTGAAAACATTAGGATGCATTTATGTCCACAAGGGATATGACACGTTGTTTATTCGTCCAGGCACTTACACTATTTGGAATCAGCAAGTTGATGGCAAAGCAGTTGGTGTAATTTGCAGGGTTCGTTTTGCATTTTCTCAAGCTAATTTTGTTACTTCGTCTCTTTCACTGATACTAATGACAGATTGCATGAAAGTATTTAAAATTGTTTCATTGCAAAAATATTCGTGTTTATTTGCCCACATTACACAATTTTCTGTATTGTTGAAGAGTGAAAGTTTACTTTATTTCATTATTTTCTCTACTTTGAGTTATTTTGCTTACAAAGAATAAGTAATAGCTCATGTCGTTAGTCTCTCTTATGTGCTTGTAGAGAATTTTTTTTTAATTCAAAAAATAAAAACAGGATTTTTATATTTTCAACTATTCAGTTTTGCAAATTAAATAAGATATATGTATAATTTTTATCTTAACACTTGCATAAAATGCAGTTTGCTTTTTTTACAAATAAAATAAAGCGAGAAGTAGACAAATTGTAGTGTAATTTAAATTATTCGTTTTATAATAAATAATGGCAAAAGATTGAAGAATAAGTAAACTATAAAAGAAATATTAAAAAACAATTTAAATTTTATATTGATCATCAATGTTTGTTGAAAAAAATTTACTCTAAATGAACTTTTATTTTTTTAAATTACAAAAAATTCAATCACAAATTTTTATGCTATTTCAGCAGGCAAATGGTGAAAATACACCTAGCTTAGAAACGTTCAAGATGGAAGACATTGCTCTAAAAACATATGGTTTGAAGTATGATCAACCACGAGGTTGACAAACATAATCAGATGATAGCTGCTTCGACGATTACCACTTACTTCTAGTAGCACTTATCAAGTTGTCATTTGTATAAATTATTCTCTCATCATTACTCATTACGTGACTGCGTCATTTTCATGATTGTTTGCGTAATTTCGTTCTTTTTCCCTTTTAATTGCGCAAATAAACTTTTTCATATTTGCGAATACTAGTACTGTATTAACGTTGAAATGAAAACTGACTCACTTTTCTTTTTTTTTTCTTGAAATTGAAAAAAAAAAAGCAAACTGCTTAATCTTTGGCAGAAAAAATTGATATCCTTCTTGGATAAATTATTCGAAACTGTTGTGAATAATGTTATTTTGTCTTATTTTAATTAATTTGATAGAAAAGTGTATGCTTTTGTTTCTTTCAACACTCTCAAAAGAGTTATCCATTAATTAATTTGCAAAATTTACATAATTTTAGTTATTTGTCGTGCATTAATTTTTTTAGTGTTTCAAAGGTCTGAGTTTACTTTTTGAACATATCTTTGGAACAGTCTGTCTGATTTTGCTTTAAACAGGAAGGAAACTGACTGATATCTTTTTTGCTATTTTATTTTCCATCACAAATTTCAATTAAAAAAAAGAAAACTGAAAGCGACTAAATTACTGATTAACACTACATTAAAAGCAAGTAAAAAAAAATTTTTTTTTGCTTTACAGTTAAACAAGCAGATACTGACAAAATGTATTTGTAATTTTGACCTTTAAAAGACTGAATAATAATTTTTCGAAATTTAATTAATTTTTGTTTTTCTTAGAAATTTACAACTTTCATTTTATATGCTATCTTTTTCGAAACTTTGTCCGATTTCATTCACTCCAAGCATCTCCTTCGATTTATATTTTTTTATGCATTACCATTCATTTATGATTGGAACCCAACGACTTGTTCACCAAACAAAGATCACCTTGTTGTGTAATATGAAATTATTAACAAATTATATAAAAATAATTTCATATTATACTTCAAAATCATAACTTTATAATTTTTTTTCAAAAAAAAAAAACCAACAAATATAAATCATTTTTTTGAACAACACATTGAGTAATTTTCAAATTTGTTTACTTGTGTTTATTATTAAAAATTTTTAAAAAGTGAAACAAAAATACAGCGACAAAAATTCCATAAAATGATTGATTTAGTCGGGGATTAGATAAAATAAACAACAGGTGATCTTTGGCAGAGAGCAAAAATGAAAATTTAACTTTAAAACGACAATTCCTCATTGCCCATTACAAACTTTTACGCTCACATCAATGGCAGTTTCACTGTTTTATTATTTGTTTTTTTTGCTGTTTTGGTGTGTGTGTTTTTCTTCTCTCAAATGTAATGTTATGAAAGTCGTGAAATACGAGTAATCGTTTGATCACCACTAGTAGCAGTTGTATGATTTTAAATCGTTCAAAATAAATTGACTTCGAAAAAATTAAATTTTCACTATAAATTTGCTTTTATACAAATAAATAAATACAAATAGACATATCTTATCATACTCATTCATCAATTAACTGCTTACTTGCAAACAGCTAAACAATATTGCATCAAAATTTATAAGTGTAATTCATGAGAGTCAATGAAAAAATTGAATAAAATTGTCTTGACATATTTTCAATTAGTTTCAAAATTTGAAGATTTAAGTATTTACTTTACTAACTAATTTGTCTTCCTTTCAAATTTGTAGTAAAGCAACTTGATGTTTTATTGTATATAAAAGCTGATCTAATCTCACAGTGTTGTAAATTCTAAAAAATTATCTAACAAAAATCTTTCCAAAAAAAATTCGTTAAATTTTATGGAAAAAAAAACTCACATAGTTAGCATTTGGGTTGTGTAATCTTTCTTGACTGATCATCTTTGATTATCTCGCTTACTTTAAATAGAAATTTTGTAAATTTTGCATAGTGAATATTAAATAAGATTAATGTAAATCTTTAAAAAGGATTTAATTCTGGAATGGTTAATTTAATTTTTTACTCACAGATATTAATGTGATAATAGATTGAGCTGCAATATTTGATAACTGCTGCAGCGTTGTCAGATTTAAACTTTAAATTTTCTAAGCAGTAAAATTTTATTTGTTGGCATTTCAAAAAAAAAAAGAAAATATTTTTCTGTAACATTAATGAAAAATTTAATTGTTTAAATATCGTGAAATTAGTTCCATCAAAGATTGTCGCAATGTTAATTTAATAAGTTTTGAAATTATAAAGTTAAAAGTAAAGATTCCTCAAACAACATTAACTAATTAAAATCAACAAAATTGGGATAAAAATAAAGCTATGATGAAAATTAATTTCTGTAACCAAATAGTTTTTGATAATAAAAGTAATAATATTTCATTTATTGAGTATTCATTAAACGTCAAGTTTTTTTAATTTTTACTCAGAGTTATTTTTTACCAATCTTGTGCTTCATATGCAGTTTCATACTGGAGACTTGTATTGGTGAGTGGTGAGTGGATTTCTGTGCAGATCATAAATTTTGATTTGTTTGATATAATGATGCAAAATACTAATATAAATGATGATAAAAATAACTGCTTTCTTTTGCAAACTATCTTTTCTCTATACATAAAATAAAAACAATCATAATGTTTTTTGAAAAAATTTTGTGTTAAAAATAACTTAAAAACTCAATAAATTGTGGTAAACTTATAAGAATTAAAGTATTTTATTTAAAGATTATTTTTGATAATTAAACAAACCTTTGCTTTTTAAATTTGTTATAAAAATTAAAATTTTAAGTTTTATAATTATCAGTTTTTTATCAAAATTTTTATTCATATTTAATAATTTTGCAGAGTTATTATAATTATATTGTAAAAATATCTAATCAAGTATTAAAAATGTTCAATCATTTTAGCAAGATATGCTAAATACATCATATCCCTGATATACTGCTTAAAATAAACAAAACAACTGCATAATTTATAATATTTTTAAACTATTTTGTTGTAATTAATAGCTTGTCAAACATTTGGAAAATATTTTGAAAGATTTTTAGCAAATCTATTAACGACAAAGAAAGAACTGATGCTTAAAATAATGATAAAGTGATTACCGGAAGTCAATAATAGTTTAAATTTTTTTGCAAATGCTTTTTAGAAATTATGTCATTACTTCTAAAAAATAATTAGGTTTTTGCATATAAAAGCAAACAAATAATGAAAGTTGCAAGCAGTAATAGTCATAAATATTTTTCATGAATCATAAAATATATTTCTTTCATAAATTACTCTTCCAACTGCTTTGGTATTTTTTGCAAACACAAATTAGCTTTAATTACTTAACTTCGATAACTTCCGGAAAATATTTTGCTTGAAATTAATAAAAAGATAGCTTACTCAACTATGTCTTACTGATAATATTTTCTATGCAAAAAATAAGTAAGCAATAATAAAGAAAGATAAGCAAGCAATGTTGTTGATGATTAAATTTGAAGAATAAATCATTGGAAAACAAAACATCGTTTGCTTGTTTGTAAAAAATTCGAATAATTTACATGCTTTTTCTTTTTTGTCTTAGCTCATTCATTTTGTCTACCAAATGTTCAATTAACAAAAATGATTACAAATAAATAAAACAAAATAATATAAATAAGAAACAAATGAAATATGATACAAAAAGTTGCAGTATTTCGTTATCTTTAAAAATTCTTCCTTCAATGTTTTCATAAGTTTGAAACTTTTCATTCATTGTATGCATTTGCAAGTTGCTTTTGCTTTTTCACTTTAATTCTTTCCTCAAATAACCAAAATTTATGGCAGAAAATTCATTTATCTTAGCAGAAAATTAGTAATTACTGATATTAACGTGAATTTAAACTTTTTATTCAGGCTAACAGCCTTATAATGTATTGTTTTTTTTTTCGAAGATTTAATATCATTGCCAAATATCTTACGTACATTCAAAGCTACCATTTTGCGCCATTTATGTTTTCAGTTGACTGTAAGTTTTGTAATTATCATAGCTTTACTTTGCTCAGTAATACTTTTGTTTTTTCTCACATTTTAATGAGTTACATTAGTTACTGTAATTAACACTTTTAAAGAATCAGCTAACTATTTAAGTGAATTTTTTAAAGATAAATCAGATGAATGAAAATATGAAATATTATTTCAAAAATAAATTAACTCAAGATTAAAAATGTAAACATTAAAAACAATTATAAAACTTTTCAAATTATCATACTTATTTATTAATGTTTTATTGATAACTTTTTTTCGTAATGACTTTGAATATTTTTGCGCACAAAATTTTTCATTTTTTGTAAAAAAGGTTTATGAAAAATTTTTGGTTCAAATAAATTTTTTTGGTTAATTACATGAAGACAATACTGACGGAGTATTGTTTTCATGTAATCTAACTGTTCAAATTTAAAAACAAATATGCCTGTCAGATAAATATAACCATTTACTGTGGCAAATTATTCATTTATAACATGGTGTCAAGATAGAATTAAAATATACTCGTATTATCATGTCATCAGTTTATTAACTCTACAAAAATATATTACTGTTTCAATTGTGTCCGAAATTTGCTTCCAAATTACAAACAAATAAAATGGCCAAAATTGTTTTTGGTTGTTTTATTTTCAATTATTTAAAATTCCTGTACTTGTTCTCATGTAGAATAAGTATTCATTCAAAAAGTAAAAGTAAAATCAAATTATATGCTAATAAACTAATGCAATATTGCTATGAAACGAATTCTTGCGTTTAATGCTTTTAAATAATGTTACACATAACACTTCCCGGAAGGCAATTTATTTTCTAACTTTGGAGATTATATGCTTAGTTGATGAATTATAGACGAAATATTTTAACCGTAGGAATTATTATAAAATTGAAATGCTAGAAGTTTTAGCTTCAAGTTTTCTGTTTGCTTGTATTATGATGAATAAATAAAAAATCTTGTCATATCATATCACGCGTTTGCAACTCAAAAGTGATCAACAGCTGTTGCTGTCCTCTTCTAACTTTTCTGTCTGTAATTATTATTTTTTAAATACTTCAAAAGAGTCAAAAATTATTTAGTTTCAGCTTTAACTGTAATTTACTTTCCATTGCAAGTCATAGAAAAGCATTTTTGCTCACTCAGCAAGTAAGCACTTAAAGTATTTCTTTTACTGTTAGCATTTAAAGCATTTTGAAAATTTTTTTTTTACAAAACTTTTACAAAAATTGTACTTAGAATTTTGGGCTGTAACGCTAATATTCTTGTTTTTAATAATAGTTAATAATACTTGAAAGAAATGAATTTTGAGCAATCGTAGAAACAACGCTTTTATAAACTGTGATTATATTTATGGCAATTTCAAGCATCTATTCATTTATAGTGTATAATCCTTTATATTTTAAAAATTTGAGCGTATAAAACTTTCTAGTTGATAATGTCTTCATAAAAATTTGTTATAAGCAATAAAAAATGTCTAATTTTGTGTTGAAACGAGCAAAATGACAAGAAGGAGAAATCAAAAGTGAATTCAAGACATTTTAGTGAGTACTGATGCAATCTAGCAGTTGCTATCCAAAAGTTGACTTTATGTAACACTTCAAAGTGTTAAATGTGAAAGGCAAAAAATGAAACAAACGAAAATTACCATCAATCATTTTTTTAAGCAATCAGAAATTATTAGCTTCAATAATTCAGACAAAGGAAAATGAGCAAAATGATTGAATATAATCACTTTGTCTATCGTTAATTGTCAGTTAAAATTTGTTCTCGCTTAATTTTTAATTTTTGAATTTTTTTAATTATCTTACTTCATTGTCTAATTGATAATAATGATTTTCTGTGCATTATTACATATTTTATTAGTATTATTATTATTATTACTATTATTATTATTATTATACAAATGATATTTTCAGAGTTATGCTAGGCTCACGTGTACTACGAACAACATTGGCAGCCCGTGATGAAAAACGGGAAATTAGACGTCGTTCAATGATGGCACAGCCATCATTATCTGAATTGGAACAAAGATTATCTTCTTTTTCATTTGTAGCTAGCTTTTTTCTACATTTCTTGAAATATTTAGGAATATAAATAAATTATGAATTATATTTTATAAATTTTTTAACATAAATATATTTTACAAGGATTCTCTACTGAAAATCTTTTTTGGTATTTGATGTAAAAAGATTAATTTTGAATACAACTTATTACTTCTGCAAGGTGTCAAATTTTTTGAGTTCTTTATTTACTTAATGTAGTCAAATATGCCATATTTGAAAAAAACAAGCTTCAGAATATTTATTTGGCTATATAATTAAACTTTTTCATTCATCTCTTATTAATAACATCGTTTTCATAAACAACTACTTGCAATTTTTATTTATCATTGTTATTTGTTATTTTATTTCAATATGATAACAAATGTTCTATTTTAAAGTTCATTCTGGAAAATTAAAAGCAATATGAAGTAACTAGCAAGTTATTTTAGAATCAACAATAAAAATAATTTCATAAAAATTGGAACTAAATAATTTTGGAAGAAATTTTCGAAAAAAAAGTGATTTTAGGATTCAAAATTGAAATCCAAGCAATCCGCACCACCATTGACGCCATCAGAAAGGAAGCAATCACAAATTTATCAAAAATTCTTGAAAAGTCTCGAAGCTGGTTGCAGCAATAACACGAATGGATGCGGTTAGAATGTTGCTTTCTTCAAATATCAAAATTATATTTAAATTTTTACTTAATGAAATTTCATAAACATTGAAAATTAGTTTATTTTGTGCTCCTTTATGATATAGCTTTGTAAATGGAATTCATTAATATTTTGAGCAATTCATAAATTTAAATAAATTTTTTGATTAAAAAGTGTAGGAATAAATTATATGTAAAAATTCATTTGCAGTTTAAACATCAGTAAACTGCTAGAAATAGTGCATAAGAATGAAATAAAGCCCATTAATATCAATAATAACACATTCATATGCAAATTTTTAAAAATTAATCCTGTAATCATTGATTCGAAATTCGTACTGCTTTGAAAATTTTTATTTGCTATGATAAGCGATTTTTTGTTTGAAAATTTGCAGTAATTTTTCAATATTTACTAGAATCTTTCGTAATTCCTCGGCGACTTCTTGAGAAATTGCAACAACTGAAAGTGGAGGAAGAAAATAGTTTGCCACTGTATTTTGGTGATTCCAAAATAACCCAACAATGCCAAAACTCACAACAAAACTGCTTGTTTAAACGAAAGAGAAACGCAACTGTTGGAAATGTAATACATGTTTCAAAAAAATTAAAATTTGAACTCTAAGTTGTAATATTTTAAATATTATAATTTAGAGTTCAATTATTGCTTTCGTTTTTTCTCACACACAAAGTTAAAACGTTAAGTATAAATTTCATTTATTAAACTTGCAATAAAAAAAGTTACCGATCAATTTGTTACTTATGACATTTTTTTAGATTTCGTTACATAAATATACCAATGACCCATATTTAGCTTGGCAATTACTCAAATGTAATCGTCCGGTAAAATTAGTTAGACAGGTATGAATTTTCACTTTGTCAGATTTGATTTGCTGGAATTTCCATATTTTTTATCAATCTTTTCTTAAAAGTAAATATAATTTTAGAGCATTGTTACTAAGTATTACAGTAAAGTACTTAATCATGTCAGTTTATTTATGCTTGTGGTTCTGCACCTTATGAATAGCTTGAAATAATTTGAACTTTATCTAGTGAAAGCTTTCAGATGAAATTAGACACACCTGTGAGATCAGATGCAGTCCGATTTGTTTCTATGGCTTGCATTCATCATTCATTGCCAGATCCCAAATCTATTCCTCCGGGCGATGTTCTTATTGTTGCAGGCGATTTTACCCAATGCGGCCGATTAGATGAAATTGAATTATTCAGCAATTATCTGAGTAAA